TCATTAGTGCCATCTCATGTCACTCGTTGTTAACACATGATCTATTAAAACAAAATGAAATGACTTTATATGTGCATGCTAGAATTTATTCAGTAAACATATTCCCATCATTTATGTGATTTTTTTTATGCGACTCAGTTGCATGCATTTGTTTTTTAGGTGCATATTCAAAATTAATGCACAAACTTTGCATTTCCATTAAGCGATTGTTTTTATGCAATAATCCAGTTGAATATTTATATTGAATGAAATTGAATTAATGTTCAAGAATAGCCAATCACTGTAAGAGATACACCTAAAAACTGGTTTAAGCTTGTTTTTCTTTATGGTAATGTGGATAATTTCTTAATTTCTGTAAAAAATAAATAAATAAATAAAAAAGGGGGGGAGGGGGGCGTTTTATGACTGTTTTCATAACAGATTAGTTTCTGGTTTTCAACAACAGTTGTAAATAATTCTAGATAAATGCGTTTGGGTTATTGATATACTACAATGACTTATATATGCTTCTATGAATAGGACTTTTTTTTAACTTATCATTTTAAAGGCATAGTTCACTCTAGGGCTGGGCGATTTTGCAAAAAACAATTATCACAATATAATTCGGCCTCGATAATTATTTATTATTAATTATAAATGATATTAAAATTAATATTATTATTATTTTTTTATATTTAACCACTTTATTTTAATTTATCAACATTACTAGACAAACAGTCAAAACAAAATATCTCATCTCCAGGGGCGCCGCTGGCTGGTACGAGCCCTATGAAAACATTTCAAGGGTGAGGTGGACATAACTGAAGTAGGAGGGTGGGGGTCTTACACCTAACAAATATTCTTATTAACAAAAAAAACCTAAAACTAACACTGAAACCAAGCCATTTCAAAATATAAAAACTAATAACAACAACTAGTAAATTTACCTCTAAAAACAAATTAAAACTAACTGAATCTGAAAACAAAAACTATAATGAAAAATCCAAAGCTATTATAACCTTGATATATACCGATACTGATTTTATCTACTTTACCCAAAACTGAACATTTTGTCATAATTTATTCATCCTCCAAAGCAGAAAATGCTTTGAAAAATGTTAAAAACTGGCAGCCATTGACTTCTATAGTATTTTTTTCTCCTACGATGGATGCTAATGATTACTGGTTTCCAATGTTTTTTAGAACTTTTTTCCATTAAGTGCTGAACAGGTTTGGAAGCACTTGAGGGTAAGTTAATAGTGAATCTAATATTGAGTAAACTGTCCCTTTAAGTAGTTTGACCTCAATTTGTTGCCATCATTTTGAGATTCTCCAATTGTCATTTTCTCTCAGTTTCTATATGCAGGCTCCTCTAAATGCTTAAAAAATCTTTTTTATTTTTTAGTTAGAAAAGCTTTTAGACTCAATAAATATATAAATAGCATTTTATGAAGTGTTCACATCTTAAATACATCCATTTATCATTGGCCTCTTTGCAGACAAATCATCTGACTGATTGTATGAATCATAACAGAAGACAAAGACAATCTAAAGGCGAAAGAAACCCAACCTTTGAACTTCTGATATCAATCAGCTAATGCGAGGGTGGAGGTTTCGTGCTTTGTCTCATTGTTCACTCTTGCTACTCACTTTCTCATCTACAACTGCTCGAACAAGCATAACATCTAAAAAAGCATTATCTACACATGTACTCGTTTTCGGCCTGAGGTTAACAGGATATGAGGTCACATCCTTTCAATCTAAATATTTGCCATGTCTGTTATAAATCCGTGAAAACATTTACCCGCCCTGTCCCACATCACCCAGTTTCGGGTGGGTTACGAGTTAGGCAAGCAATGTTTTAGAGACCCCGCAAGTCTCCGCTGTGTTCTAAATTCAAATATCCAGCAGTCTGGGAGAATTTATCATGCTTTCAGACTAAAGGCGTGGACTTTGGACAGCACATGAAGGCTTGTGGGAAAACTATAAACCAACAGATCCTGTAATTGCCATTGAACTTTGAGTGACTGAGAAGCGATGATATTCTGTCTGATACATATCACAGTCTGGAATGCATGCGGTGGTTCAGCGTGCTTCGATTGTGCAATGAATCCACTCCCAATTCTGTCAGTACGCCTGGAGTAATCTAGTACACACTACTAAATGATTTTTACCCAACAAAGTCATTTATTCAACTATATTATACAGAGCTGAACAAGTAATAATGCACCAAAATTCAGTTTAAGCCATGAAATTAAAGTTTCTGTTTAGTCTAAATTAAATAAGCATATATAAAAATTGTTTTTTCAGGTAAGAAAGTAAAATAGTATAATAAAACAGTATAGAACAACGAAGTTTTCCTATAATAAGCCATCTTTCTGCATTTCAAAGTGTATGTATAATTATTTATTGCATCTTTTCTAGTTCGAGTAAAGTGCATTTACACTGCTGACAGACTAGTATGCATTTTGTTCCTCTGTGAATACCAAAAAGTGTTTTAAAGAATGTTTTTTTTTTACAAATGTTTTGTTCATATATGATGAAAGTCAAGATATGCAAAACCACAATAGGAAATAAGATTGTTTTGTCTGTTTTATTTTTTCAGTTTTGGCTAAATAATATTGGTCAACACAATTTTGGTGGATATTTACAAACTCTCTAATAAACACAAATGATAATTAGGTTAAATGTTTCAACACACTATTCAATAAAAGTCATTGCGGAATATTAGGATTTTTGTTATTTAACCACTTTATTTTAATTTAGCAACATTACTAAGGCAAATAGTTTTAATAGTCACTTTATAAAAAATTAAACACAAGTATTAAAGAGACTCTTAAACTTTATATATAATAGGTTACAAAGTATGTGTAATGGTAAAGGCTGATCAACATCTGTAAGGTGTCAATAATTAATATTGATACAGTAAACCTCAAACTCTGTCAACAACACAAATTATGATAATCAAATCTGAGCTTTCAAGTAAAGGAACAAACCATCATTATTCAAATATATACTGCAACATTACAAATTGTGAAGTTGATTGACTATATTACCCCCATGCTAAGAATTCTTTCAGATGGGGGGCTAGTGGCTGGGATGCACAAGAAAAGAAACCAAAAAGCCACTCTCGTGACATCCTTTTTTATTAACAAATCTCCTCACTGCTGCTATACGGCACTCAATTTCCCGTGTGTTGTTATTCTGACCTGAAGTGACAAGTGTGAGTGCATGCTTTCCTTCACCATTTTCTATGTTGTCTCTCACAACTAGGCGACCATCAACTGTTTTCTCAGAGGATGACAATCGGACAAATCGCTGCAGCTCCAAAACAAGTTTATGGAGAAAAGTAGAACCCGCTGCAGTGTTTGGGTGGGCTGTGTTTATCTGAGGTAATTAGTCTGCTGCCACTGAAATGTGTATATCCCATACAAAGTGTAAAGGAGATTCATTTGTTCTACTTACATGAATCGCAGTGTGCTCAGGGCATTCAGAAAAGTTTGGGGTTTGATCACTAGATATCATGTGTGTGTGTGTGAGGGCTAGGTGATTAATTGAAAAGTATTTGAAATCCACATTCAGAATCTATAGTCGATCTCATTTTTCCAGGTCGTTTTTTTTTTTTATTGCTTTCTCCATCATGTGTGGAGTCACGTGACCCCACTCTGTTAAAGGCTGAGGCTGATATTAACTTCTGCGGCCACTTTGCAGGCACAACTCCAACCCATGATCTCTGGTCAAGTAGGGCGATGGACCCATCTTTGAGCCTTACTTTGCACTACATTTATGAAGATTGGAAGCTGCGCCAGAGATGCCTTAAGACGGCATATTTTTCATTACATTAAAATACTTTTTTACAGAAGATAAAATAAATGCATTGCTTAAAATAATATTTACAGTATATACAAGAGTTACTTTATTTAGAAGAGATATGTTTAATATGAAAAACATTGAAAATGTATTAATTTTGTTTCCAAGAGTGCAAGTTATTCATTTTATAAAAAAAAGTGTGTTTTAATTTCAGTTACTCAACATTGATGTTCAATAAATAAACATACAGATAGTAGATGGTGTGTGTTTCCTTCAATTATTTTAAAATCAAGTAAAGCACCCTTCATTAAAAAATCTCTCACTTGAGAGCAAGTGAGCATATTTACTGCAAAAAAAACGTGTCAGTGAACTATGAGGGCATAAAGATAAATTACTAAATAAAATAATAAAACATAATCAAGTAACAAATGTTCAATTAATCAAGATTTTGATTCTAGGCCAAATCGAACAGCCCTTGTGTGACTACTGAATATTTTCAGTTGGCACAATTTATGTACATCAATATTCACAACTGGAAATTCAATTAATATGAATTATTTCACAAGCATTTTATTCCTCTGAAAATGTTTTGACTGTTTGTGTCCATACACAGTAAAACAATCCTGGTCGCTTTAAATGTTTAAGCTGAATCAATTTAACCTTATGAAATTAAGGTTAGTTAATGAAATTACAGTAGTTCATTGTTAGTTAATGTTAACTCATGGTGCATTAACTAATGTTAACAAGCATGGACTTGAATGTTCATAATGCATTAGTAAATGTTAAATTATGATTAATAAATGCTGTACTAGTGTTGTTCATGATTAGTTCATGTTAGTAAATGCATTAACTAATGAACCTTATTGTAAAGTGTTGCCAGTTACACAAACTGTTTTAAGTCAGTATAACATAAGTTACAATGAACTAAAACATTTTTACAGTGTAGAGTCAAAGCCCAAGTGTAATATAACTGTAAAATTATGATTATTATTATTTTGCCATTTCGGATCATTATATTAGGTGATCACCATTTTGGTGCATCATCACAAATACTGTAGGTATGCATTCAGCTTTTCTTCCGAATTCAACAATCAGTCTCCCAGTTACTTTAAAAATAAATAACTTTGTCATTTTGTGTCACTCAGTAGAACTTTTACTTCTGGTTGAACAATCCCTTTCCCCAAGTTGAAAATGTAAAGCAGTAATCTCACCTAGCACTGTCATCACAGTTTTAATCAGCTTGATTGGCGTTCTTTTGCGATTTATAGATCCAGAAGTGTGCGCCTTCAGGACAACTGTCTTTTTCACCACATAGACGTAAATCCTTACATAGACCCCCACCATGATGAGGAAGAGCACCAGGTTGGACACAGACCAGAAGATCAGGTAGCTCCGGCTAAAGATGGGGGCCAATTTAGAGCACAGATCCAGACTGCAGATACAGTTCCAGCCCAAACTAGGAACGGCCCCCATGAATATGGAGATACCCCATACTAGGGCGATCAACAGAGTCACTCTGCGCTTGGTGAGGTTACTGTGAACCTTAAAGTTCAAGATGGAGATGTAGCGCTCCAGGGCGATCACCAGGAGGTTGGTCAGAGATGCAGAAAGACTCGCGTCCAGCAAACCCTGACGAAAAAAGTAGCCTTGAACGGTTAGATCACGAGATATTTTCCCTGTGTTGAACATGAGATAAATGTAAGCGATTCCAGCGAGAAAGTCTGAGGCGGCAAGGTTGGCGAGGAGATAGTAGAAAGGGTAGTGAAACCTCTTGTTTGTCACCACCGCTGCTATGATCATGGCATTGGCTACCAGGATGAAACAACAGCAGATTGAACTAACACACTGAACCAGGATGAGCTGTGTGCGGTCCCATTCATCTGAGGTGATGTTGCTGTTGTTGTAGAAAAAGGCCATGGGCTGGTCATGGTAGCAGATGTTGTGCCTGGCCATCTTTGGACAAAACCCACTAGGACTAGAAAAAACAAACAAAATAAGTGCATTGTGTGGGTCTAAAGGGTTTCAGTTATAGCACTTCAGTTAGTTATTCATGAGAGCCATTTAGAAGGAAACCCATAATTCAGAGATGAAGATAACAAACATGATGTGACTGACAGAAAGTAAGCAGACTAAATGAAAACAAATTCAGTAAAATACTCACTTGTGCCCTAGTGCTAGGCGTAGGGCAATAAAGTCAAGGTTTTAAAACCGTAATAATTTTCCACACAACCGTTATGAGTGAGATTTTTTTATTTACTTTTTTTGTTGTTGTTGTTGTTTAGGACAACAGTATGTCCAGCAGAAAAGATTTCCAAAGATGCCATTTTAAATAGAAAACAAATCTATTTTGAAACAAATGAAGACAGCAGATGAAGTCAATAAATCATTTAGCCTGACATGTTTACAGTTCCAAAAATATTTTAAATGTTTCTCAAAATAAAATTGTGTTGAAAATGAAAAAAATTGAATTTTTACCCAGACATTTTAAAAGACTACATTTTAGAGCAGTAATCACAATACCGTCAGAATCTTATCCCGACCCCTGCCTACCTAACACAGAAACAATTTTCATTTAAAATCCAAAAAATAATTAGACAAATAGTATGTTATTTATTTAGAGAATGTAATTTTTTGTTAGCTTGACTAGCTTTTTTTAATAAAACAATAATAATAACAATAATGTGATGATTTTCCCCCCACAAAATACTAGGATCATGTAAATAAATATACGTTTAAAATTATAGCTATACATGTTGTATTAATATATATATATATATATATATAAACTGTAAACTTCAAAGGCAATGAAGCAGCAAGTAGATTTAAAAATAACATATGAAGAGTTTAGATGCAAAAACCTCTAAATGGCGTTTGTTTTCTTCTAAAATTAGAATTTTTCCCCGACTGTGTAGTCTAAGAAATTTTTCTTTTATAGTCAAAAATAAGTTATTTTCATTAGCTTTAAGGTGAAATACTTCTCAAAGGAAGCCAAGCAACATGCTCATTTAAGGAGAAAACTTCAGATGTCATTTAGATGTTTTTGTGTCTGATCTCTTCAAATACAGTTTCTCAGATCCTACATTTCATTAATCATCTTTTTTTTTTTATTAAATTTTGTCTTCATTAGCTAGTTTAAAAACTAGAATTTACAAATTAAAAAACTACAAATATAAAAAAGTAATTAAACCTTGGAAAACACAAATAAACCTTAGGTTTTGCGACAACCATTTAAGCAAACTTAGACATTTGTAGTAAATCTTTGGTGAATGTAATCAATGTGCCAAAAACCTTTATTTAGTACACTTTTAGTTTAAAGCCATAACATATCCTGTTTTACTTGAATGTTTATCCTCAAAACAAACTAAAACTGCTCAAAGATATTTGTAGTAAAACTGAGGTTACAAAAATTTAATGCGTCAAAAACCTTTAAGCACAATTTTAATATAATAAAGCCATATTATATATCCCGTTTTACTTGAATTTTAAACATCAAAACAAAACTGCTCGTAAAGACAAGTGTATTGGTATTTCGTTGAAGAATGTACAAAAATGTGCAGCGACAGAAATGAAGCTCACTTACCAGTGACAGACTGGTCAGGTTCTCGGTTCACTCTCCATTGGTAGAATGAAGTTTCACTCATACACACCGCGACTCCACAAACACACACAACGCCTCTCCCTCCCTCAGTGAAGTCTGAAGTTTGATCTGGGCCGTATAAGCTGAGCTGGAGTGCCAGACTGTCCCTCTGGGCGTGGCTTGGCTGGTTTCAATTGTGCGTATAAAGTAAATAAAACCGAATAGTAATTTTTCGAAAGCGAAACACTGCGAAATTTACATATTCAATGAAGAAGTATTTATCCTCATTGTTAATATTTGAAGAGAATAGTTTAATCAGGTTTATAAAGTTCAATCCAAGGCAGGTTGTGTCATCACCAGCAGATAAATAACGCGTTTATGAGTGGTTTATTTTGTACCGTTTAACATTACGTAATTTTACTCAGATGTGTGTTGTAAAAACATGCGATAAGTTTAGAGATTTAAATCAGACAGTGAATCGCACTGTTCAACATTTCAACTCACAATGAAAATAAGAAATTTGGGGTATTTTTATGAGGGTAAAAGGAAAGCTGATTAAAATATTATTTTATTAGTATTTCTAAAGAGTTGTTTTAAATTTGTGTCACTGTTTTGAATACTGCAATTTGCAGTACAAGTAACGCGTGTTTCTTTTTTTTAATAGCGTAAAGTAACGCATATAACTTTTAATGATTAAGTGACAATATTGAGTTTCTTTTTAGTTTAGTTAATTAATTTTTTTTTTAATCTGAATTAAATGACAGCCAAGTTGAATCCTGCACACAATGAGAATTCATGAACATACAGAAATGAAGAGGGCAGAGGCTTACATTTCTGTGATGAAAATATTCTCATTATTGTCAACACATGGAAGAAAAGACAAAGAAAATTATCTAAATGAACAGAGACGTCACTTTTTAACGAGAAAAAAAGTACAACAATGACAAATGCATTGCTTTAAACTTTCATTGTTCTGTATATACAGCATGAATAATGGGGTCAGGAAGTTTTCCAATAATAACATTATCTTACATTAATTTTATGTTTGTTTTTTTTTTTTTATGTAAATGAAGGTTATACAATGTGTTGTTAATTGCAAAGCTCTTCTATTTAAAATAAAGCACAAAAAAGGCAAGTTCTGAAAGAGATCAAGCCTCCACCAGGGCGGAAAAAGTAATGCAAAAGTAACTCAAAAGTAACATAACATATTACTTATCATAAAAAGTAACTAAGTAATCCGACTAGTTACTTTTTAAAGGAGTAACTCAATATTGTAATGCATTACTTTCTAAAGTAACTTTCCCCAACACTGCTTACTGCCAACATTATTAGGTACACCTTGCTAACAAAACTAAATATGATCATTTACTGACCCATCTCTTGTCACAAATCTGAGATTCTTTCTTCTTTTAAACACAAAAGATGATATTTTCAAAAGGTCGAAAACCAGTAATCATTGACATTCATATTTGTTTTTCCTTTGGATACAATGGTGATCACTTCCCAACATCCTTCAGATCATATTTATGCTAAACAACAGAAAGAAACTTTGGAACAATGGTGAGTATATTTTATTTTAGGATGGACTATCCCTTAAGACTATTCGTGTTGGCACAGGGGTTCAGCTAGGTGCTGCAGAAATTCCTCAGATATTTAAGTCCATATTAACATGATTTGGATTTCTCATCTGCACATGCATTAAGTGAATGTCCAGTTCCATACATCAAACTTTGATCCTACCATAAAATATTGCTGCAGACTTATTAGACTTGTTTTTCTTTTTCTTTTTTACCCATTTTAATCTCCTATTGTCCATTTTTGGTGACCCACTGTGAATTGCTGCAATTTGCTTCTTCTGCTTCAAGGGTTGATGCGAGTGATGCATTTCCAGAGATCATCTGATGCAGACTTTGATTGTAGCAAGCATTTATTCGAGTTCCTGTTGACTTTCTATCAGCTCAGAGCAGTCTGGTTATTTTCCTCTGACATCAACATGGCATTTTTGGCCTCTGTGCTACAGTCCTGACTGGTTCTTGATTCAGGCTATGTAAACCATACAGCTGGTGAGAGAAATCCCAGTAGATCAGCAGAATCTCAAATACTCCAAGGAGACTGTCTAACAGCAACAATCATGACACTTTCAAATCACTTTCTTCTCCTCCATTCTAATGCTGGGTTTGAACTTCAGCAGATCACCTTAATCATGTCTACATGCTTAAAAGCATTGAGCTCATTGACTGACTGGTCAGATATTTGCATTAATGAGCAGCCAAACATGTGAAACTGAAAGTGGCCACAGTATATTTGGCTGAATCAGCCACCTATACCCTTAAATAATGCACTATTTGAGGGAGCAGCCCTTTCTAGTAGCATCCAAAACCATTGTGGGCATTCAGTAGTGCACTCAATCAGTCCCATAATGCACCGCAATGATGAGTGTACAACCCGTGGACATATATTTAATGTCTGTATACAAAAACCAAAACACTTCAATACTAACAGACAGCTCACGAAGTATTAAATAAATATCACAAGGTCTGACCAAGAAGATGAAAATCTATAATCCGTCAGAGATTTATCAGTCACGATCAAAGCACAAACAAAACGCTTAGCATTGGACGTGGATTTGATTAGAACTACAAACTCAGATAAAAATTGTAAATAAACTACAAACATAAGACCAATTATCAAGTAGAGAGGCTTTAGTAAAGTTGTTTGAATGACTGTTAATTCATATCTAGCCAACTTATTTTAACAACATTTAAACCGCGTTTTCATTGTTATATTTCTTCTGCAACAACAATGTAAACTTATATCAAGATTTGTTTGTACCTTAACTTCTTAATGCATAATTAACCAAAGACAAGGGGAGATTTCTCTGTATGAAAGACTTGCGAATGGCAGATTAACCTGCTACTGATGATTCTCCAAGAAGATACGCAATTAAATATGAAAGAAATGTGGATGATGTGTTGAGATGTGGGGATGTAACTAAGTAACATAACGATCTGTTAATGAGGAAGTAGTAAATCCACTTGCATAAGCTGCGTCCCAAATGGCACTTATGCACTCAACAGCATAGTATATGAATGTAGTGTCATCTCAAATGGAACACTAATGGTTTTTTTACTAAGCAGAAATTCAAACCATTTCCTTGATGACGTTTGACGATTGCCAAATTAGCAAAATAAATGACCAAAGTACCTAATAATACCTGCCATAAATATTCCCGCGTTCACCATTGGGAGGCGGTATAATGACTCTATTTATTTTGCATTGTGAAAGCAAAGTTCTATGAAAGTAATACAACATGAGCGCCAGAAAGCTCCGCTCCTTTCTCTACCCGAGCAAAGCAGTGGTCGTTGAGTGTGTGAAGTGTCCAACATTTCACACTTCTTTTTACCAGTTGAATGGTGCACTCATTATTTTTAGAGTTTCAGAGTGAATGCACTACTTACACTATTTATTCTACACAATGGCGTAGAATAGCGCATAAGTATGTGATTTGGGTCGCACCTATGTTACACACTTAATAGTATATACTTTTCTTTTACAAAAAAAGTACATACTTTTAAGGTGTAGTAGAAGTATGTGAATTGGGACGCAGCACATGACTCCACAGACTCTTTTCACATTTCCGGATTTGTGAGCAGGTGAAGTCATCATTATATTTGGTTGAAGTTAGAGCGCAGCGAATGGGAGAGTACCACAAATACATTTTTTGCCCCTCTTAGCAAGCGCGGAGGTGCCCCTAACCCTAACACTGTTGAGAAGCAGGTAGGGCCAACTATAGGCCTACTGTGGTGTTAGTAACTGTACAATGGAGCGAGTTTCAGGCGGCCACTGCGATTGGATATTATACCAAAGTTAACGACCCGGGGGTGTTTCAAAACGTTGAGGACCGGGAGGAAGTAGGTTGTGAAATTACAGCAGTTTTTCAGGAGAAATAACAAAATAGGAGGGTGGCGGGAGATAGGACTGAAATACGGCAGACTCCCGGGAAAAACGAGAGTGTGGGCAGGTATGGATAATACAAAGTATAGCCTTATAAATGTACATAGGATTTTATGGATGAATGGATGGTTAAATTGATGGATGGAAGGACGGGCGGACGGACGGACGGACGGACGGACGGACGGACGGACGGACGGACGGACGGACGGACAGACGGACAGACGGACAGACGGACAGACGGACAGACGGACAGACAGACAGACAGACAGACAGACAGATAGATAGATAGATAGATAGATAGATAGATAGATATTAAAAAACTTTGAAGGATTTAAGCTTCTGATGACCCATTGTGATTATCTGTAAATACCTTACTGTATGGGGGGTTAAAACTGTTTAGTTGAACAGTATGATATTAAAATTTCTCAAATAAATCAATAACATGGCAGGTAAATCAAGTTACATTGTCTAGTGTGGTATTAAGTTTCATTTCCTACAGAAACAAGAAGTGAAGCTGTCATTCTAGACACTAAGTGCTTCAGATTTAATGGTTTTTGAGGTCATACGATCTGAAAAGTAAAAACTAATCTAAATTATATTTCAGAACATATAATTGTATAACTTTAAATAACAAAGCTTAGAAAAGCAAACAATGAAAACCAAAACTAAAGGAGAAAAAGCACACGCTAAGGCGTCTTATAAATGTTTATTATTATTATTATTTTCTTTACTTCCTTCACCAAATATCCTTCTCCCAGTGACTAAGTGCTTACCAAGCAATTCACATAGGAACTGCCTTACTGATAAAGCATGATCCACCATTCACTCATAAAGTACGGTCATCTCCACAAAGGCAAACGTTAGCTCGGCTATGAGTGAACAATGCATGCTGAGTACGTCCAGTGTGTTGAACATTACTTACATTCCTCGAACACCTCGCATATCTAAAGTGTAATATTAAGAGATCTTCTAAATATTTAGTTATAAATGCCTTTGAGGTACTGTAACACGTCAAAGGGCTGATAAAAATCAACAAATGCGGAATCTGAACTCATTCTCTAATGTAAAACTCTCCAGATGACACATGAATAATATCATAAAAGATATTTCCTCTAGTTAAGGACATTTAACAGGCATAATTCTACAGATTGCACATCAAACTTCATCTGCACGTGGCATTTGACCCACAAAACGCTTCATTTTTTTCTTGTAATTGGATTGCAGTGCACTTTAAAAGATGTTTGCCATTTATCTGCTTGCTAATGCAGGTTTTACCGGTTTCTAATGAAATTGACATGTTCACTGAGCTCTTGCTTCCTGTGTAGCACATGAACCAAGTACTTTGCATGGAGCAGTAAGCATGTTACACACAATCTTTCCATTATTAAGCTGCAAACCCACAGCAGTGTTCAGTAGATTGAATGCTTAAACAGTGGCAGCGGTCAGCTGATGAGGACAATGGTGTCGTCTTTGGGATTCCTGTAAAAAAGGACACAAATGAGGTATTTTATACGTGTTGAACGGTTTCTGTCAAATTTTGAACCAAATTAAATATATAATTTTGAGCTCTCGGGGTGTTTCCAGAGAAAAGATTTCTAGAATTGATTCTTGAATCCTAAAAGAGAACTAAAAAGGGTAGATTTTTGGTTTCATGTTGGGTACTTTTGTAGGTAGAGTCCCTGGTTGTCCTTATATTGTTCAATTGTTTGGGATCAGTAAGGTTTTACATTAAAAAAAAAAATTTAAAAAAAGAAATTATTCATTTAATCCAGCTCATTAGAATGAAAAATTCAGCCAAATTTATATTTAACAAAATAAGGTATGTAAATGAAATAAATGCTGCTCTCGTGAACTTTTAATTTATCACATATTCTGTAATGTAACCCAGCTGTTATTGGTTTCTGCACTGATACTGATCAGAAATGTTTCCCGATCATCGAATTAGCATATTTAAATGATTTCTGAAGAAATGTGTTACTCTAATGCCTGGAGTAATAATTCTGAAAAATCAACATTGCATCACAGGAGGAAATTACATTTGAACCTTTTCTCAAATTTGACTTTAAGAACAGAGTATACTTTATCTTTTACTTTAACCCATTGCCAATACAACTTCAATGCTGAGAAAACAGTCAATGACAAAAATTGGAGTAAATAATTGAATAATTAAAGGGGTGGTCCACAGTGTATTGTGTTTATAAGATGCAAAACAATGTTTACTCTTGCTTCATTTGAAGCAAATCATGTTATTTTTCTTACAAATCTTACTTTGGTTTTCATGTTAGCTGAGTAGCTGTAAATAATCACTGTCATATTTCCTAGTTCCTCTGAAAGGCTCGCCCGCAAGAGGCTCTGATTGGTCAGCTAACAAAATATGCTGTGATTCGCGGATAGGCTCTACGTCATGGAGGAAATGCTTCAACAGCCTTCAAGCACACGATTTTGCGCTGTGTAAATACAATCAGTTAATTTCTGTTCTGTCTGTTAGTTCTGACTGAAAATGAAGAGCACACAGCTAAACCTCAAGCCTGCTCTATAAAATAAAATCTGACAAGTGTCTTTCAGATATATTCGAAAT